GGGCGGGCGCCGCCTCCTCCTCGCCGCCCGCCCTGCTCTCCACCCTCGCTCCCCGAACACAGCCCGCCTCCCCCTGGTAATCCTCTCTCCCTCTTCCCCCCCTCCCTCTCTCTCTCTCTCTGTCTCTCTGTCTCTCTCTCTGTCTCTGTCTCTCTGTCTCTCTCTCTGTCTCTGTCTCTCTCTCTCTCTTTTTGCAGCTGCGGGGGGGGGGGGGGGGGGGGGAGCTGAGCCTCTCCTCGCAGAAACGACATTTCCTTTTCGGCTAGCCGCGGGAATTCTGGGTAGTGTAGTTCGGCTTCTGTCTCGGGTCCAGGTGGGCTGCTCCTCGTGCCCTTTGAACTCAGCTGGCTTTCCAGGGCTCAGGGTAGGCGGGAAAGGGTTGCTGTTGCCCTGGCATTCCTGGCCTGGCTGGGTGGAAACAGTGCAGGGCTCTGGAGGTTCCAAGGCTGGGAAGTTTGGGGGTGGGGAGAGAAGTTCTAGGAAAAAGGTCCCCGTGTTTCTTGCTCTGTGCTGGGCTTCTGGGCGCCCTGACAGGTGGTCAGGCCAGTCGGGCCCCAACTGTGATAAGCACTGTACAAGCTTGATCACTTCATCCACCATCAACCACCCCTGGGTAGGAAGCCTATGGTGTGTATTTCACAGAGCAGGACTCCAAAGCTGGGAGATTCCCAAGACCTGCCCAAGGCCTCCCCCAGACGGGTATCCCCGCTGAGACCCGGGAGATCTGTGTACAGAGGTTCAAAGGGGTTTGACCCTGGATGGGGGAGGAGAGGGGGGATCGCTGTTCACCTCTCTAAGCATCTTCAAACCAGTAGCCCCACCCGCACCTGGTAACTACCCACCGCCACTCGCAAGCCAGAGCATCTTGAGTGCCAGTGAGGGCAGAGATCGGAGGAGCAGAAGGTTATGGCCACTTTGAGGTGTTTTCTCTGAGGGGCGATCAGCCAGCCAAATGACCCATCTGTACCAGCACCAGTTCAGGCCACAGGCAGGAAGTGGCCTGTTGAGGTGGCCACTGCCCCTTGGCCAGCTGCACCCCTGCCCTCGCCCTCAGCCTAATGAGGGGTCATCCCTTTCCAGGTCAGCTAGTAAGTAGTTTATTCCTAGCCCTGCTGACTGAGACCAAGGTGGGGTGGCCTCATGGTCTGCTTACAGCCAGAAGATGGGAAGAGCACGGGTCTCCGAAGGACCCCATGTAAATTTCCATTTCCAGGAAGAAGCCTTCCCTGGCCTCTAACCCACAGCGTCCTCTCCCTGCTGTGAACTCACGGCCTCCACAAAGCATTCTGCCCCTCTTTGACGCACTTCAGCCTTCACATAATTATTATGATAATAACCTTGGGGGTGTCCATCTCATCTGCCCACACCATCACCCCCGGTTCCTGGAACAGAGAAGACCCCCCTGGCTGGAGTGCCCCCTGAGGGCAGGGACACTGTCCTGGCCACAAGGACATGAGCGCCCCGTGCACATGTGCTGAGCTGCACTTGCTCATCTGACGTGACAAGAGCAGAGGCCGGAGCCCTACCTGCTCACTAAGCGGCCAGACGGGAGGTGATTTCCTGGAGTCCTTGATGCCTGTTGGAAGTGAGGTGACGCCCTGCAGCCCTGGGCTTGGTTGGCCTGGGTTTGTGACGATGATAAAGCGCTCACTGTGTGGTCTGCACTGCTGAGTGAGTATTGTCTCCGCTATCCTCCTTGACCCCAGGAGGAGGGCTGGACAGAGAGACCCAGGGGTCACGTGACAGTGGCTTTCCGGAGTCTTGGACGCACACTCAGATCTGGCCAAGTTCAAAGCCCACTTATTTCCTCCTCCAGGCACGCCGCCCTTGCCTGGGGGCCAGCCCCTCCGAGCCCGGATGGAAGTGACGTTAGAAAGCCCTGTGTCCGGTAAGTCCCACCAGAAGACTGCTTGGGTGCCCACGGGGTGAGCAAAATAGAAAACCCCTGTCCCTCGGCCCCAGAGCTGTCTCCTCTGCTACGTCACCTCCTATGCAGTACTTCATCCTGGGCTGGTTCGAGGGCCAGTTCTGCAGAGGGAGGGCCCAGGCGGCGTCTTTTTGCCAGGCTCTGAGCTGAGGATGGGACCCCCCGGGGCCAGCTCTGACGGACGGAGGGTCTGAAAGGGCTTGGCCCACGCCAGCATCCCCTGTCCTGGCTCCCCACTGGCCCTCCAAGGTTCCAGCTGCTCCCCCAGCTCTCAGCCCCTCCAGCCCTCCTGCAGCCCTGCTTCCTGCTCAGCGTTTTCTGGAGTCTGTGGGTGTTGGGCACAGACCCACGGCTGTCTCAGCATATGTGAAGGCCCGTGATACAGCCACACGAGAGGGAAGCGCTGGCGTCTGCAGAAGCAAGGAAGGGGACATCTGTTTGTGACGTGCCCAACACCACGGGGACACCCGCACGGCCCCCCAAACCTCTCCCCCTCCCTCAGACCTCAGTCTCCCCAGCCTCCTCTGCCTTGATGTCACCAGTGAATGGGAAGGAGCAGGGCTCTGGAGGCTCAGCCGCCACCCTCCTCGGGGATGGTGAACCCCCCGGTGTGGCAACTTGGGGGTGCCAAGTGCTGTCGGTGGGAAGACAAGGTCCCTCAGTTCCCAGCATGTTGGCCCGGAAAGGCCGTGAAAACCCGAAGTCACACAGCAAACCAGAGGAAGAAACAACCTGACCTCACCCAGCTGGGTTTTAACACGCAGCCCCAGTGAGTCCAGAGTCCTCCCAGGTCAGCAGAAAGAGCCGGATGCAGGGTCTCCTCACTGAGCATCGCTGCGGCCAGGGCCTTTGCATGCATCACCTTCGTGGCTCTCCACGAGGACCCCGTGAGCCAGTCCCGTTACCATCCCATTCCACAGGTGAGGTTACTGAGGCCTGGTGAAGAGGGAGGTGTGGATGGAACCCGCCCCCTGGCTCTGAGACCTGGAGGCCGGAGGATTTGATATAGCAGGCGCTCTCACCAGCGTTCCCTGCAGTTGTAGGGACCAAGATCTCAGGGCCACAGCTGATCCTCCAAGAGCTCTCAGCCTCCAAGGGTGCAGTCATCAGGAGACCGGAAAGGCACTTCTCAGGTGGGAAAATCCCTTTGTTCTGCAGATGGAAATGCTATGTGCTGGGATTCTGTTGCCCTGGGAGACAGGGTTATCTCCTTAACTGTTTAGGACCAGGCCGGAAGCCAATGGTGAGGCTTGAAATGTCCGCCTGGGAGACGCGGGGGGCAGGGTTGGAGGGCCAGGTAGGTGGCTGGAGGGGATGGTGCATCAAGGGGCAAGGAGGGGCTTCCCTGGTGGCGCAGTGGTTGAGAGTCCGCCTGCCGATGCAGGGGACACGGGTTCGTGCCCTGGTCCAGGGGGATCCCACGTGCCGCGGAGCAGCTGGGCCCGTGAGCCATGGCCGCTGAGCCTGCGCGTCCGGAGCCTGTGCTCCGCAATGGGAGAGGCCACAACAGTGAGAGGCCCTCGTACCGCAAAAAAAAAAAAAAAAAAAAAAAGAGGCAAGGAGGCTGCAGGGCCCACCTGGCACCACTGAAGCACCTCACCTCTGCAGAGAGTGGGCTCAGCCTGGCCGAGCTAGCACATCCAGGATCTCCGAGAGGGCTGGTCCCACAGCCTCCCTACAGGTGGGGAACACGGGCTGGCAGGGTCATACAGGGAGGGCTCCAGAACTAGATTCCAGGTCTCCTGGCCCCCAGGTCCCTGATAAGCTCACTCTCCACAGAGGAGCAGAGGTGTGGTATGGGGCCCTGCGCAAAACCAGTGCCTGGGGTGGCCACATTCTTGTAGGTCGTGTTAGGTTTGGGACTGACCAGCTGGCCTCCCCACCACCTCACGCCCGTGCATTCCTTCCCCAGTATTGACTGGGCACCTGGGCTGGCCGCTCAGAGACACGAGGGAACACAGCCAGGGCCTGGACACACAGGAGGCATGGTCTTCTCAGTACTCACATCCCTGTGGGCCAGAGAGATGCCAAGGGATAACTCCGAGAATGATGAACGGAGATGTTAATTAACACGAATAATAAATGGGTACAACTTCATGCTCAAAACGATTGCTATAAATCAGGACGTAGATGGGTAAGTTGTTTTGATGTGTGTGTGTCCAGTACTGAGCTTGGGGAGGGGAGGGTGAAGGACATGTGTTCCAGGGGTGTGAGGGGTGTGACGGTGTGTGAGGCAGTTAGAGTGTGTTGGTGAACGTGTGTGTAGATGAGTGTGTGATGATGTGAGTGTGTGTGACAGTGTGAGTTTGTGCGTGTCTGTGTGTGAGGGTACATGCGGCAGTTGTGTGTGACTGCTTGGGGGTGGTGGTGTCTATGTGTCTGGGAAGGTGTATGTACGTGTGTCCATGTGGGTGTGTGTATGAGGTGTGTACTGGTGTGAGTGACCACAAGTGGTGTGGGTGTAGATGAGGGAGTGTGTGTATATTGTATATGGCAGTGTGTGCCTTGTGTGAGGGTGTATGTGAGAGTGTGTGTGAGTACAGAAGGACACGTTTGTGTTCTGGTTGTGCGAGTGCATGTCTGTGTGAGTGTGCCCGATGGTGCGTGTTCACGTGTGTCTGTGAGGGTGGATGCGAGCGCGTGTGTCTGTGGGTGAGTGTGTGTCCGCGCAGATGTATGGATGTGTGTGTGATTGTGAGTGGAGGTGAGCACGTTTGTGGGTGTGAGTGGGTGGGATGTAGGATCGTGTGTGAGTGTGCATGTCTGTGCACGCGGGTGTGTTGGATGTTATTTTGGGGCTGGAGGGGATCGTTAATGTGCCTGGGGGATGGAGATCCAGGGCCAAATCGGGGTCAGGACGGGCGGGGGAGGGGTTGCTTCTCCCAGCCTGGCTCACAAGGGCGGTCCCTCTGGCCCCGCTTCCCCGTCGGAGCCACAGTTCTGAGCGAGAAACGCCTGCTCCTCCCGGGACGGCCTCTTGAACGCACCACCGTCCCCCCAGGCGAGGAGCGGAGGCTCAGCGGCGCCCCGGGTCCGGCGGCGGCGGGGGCAGTGAGAGCAGGTGCCCGCCCTCCCGCCGCCCACCCCGGTCACCTGGCGCCGCCCCTCCGCGCCCACGCGCCGCCCGCAGCATCCTCGGGCCCCCCATCACTGTCCCGCGCGCCGCAGATGCGGGAGGACGCGGGCGCCGCGCTCCGGCGGGGCCCCCCGCGCGCCCCGCCGCCCGGGCAGAACGGGGACGGAGGCGGCGTCAGCAGGCTGGGTGCGGCCCGGGATCGGGTGCGGCGCTGGGAGTTCTCCAAGGTGCTAAAATAAACCCGGAGAAGGATCAGGTTTCCCGACCGAAATAACCCAGGAGCGGCCTTAGAAATGCGAACTGACAAAGCGATCCGGGGCGGGAGCCGGCGGGGCGGGGAGGCGGTGACGAAAAATGCTTTTCTCAGGGCTGCTTCGCCGTCCTGGCAGGGACCTCCCGCCGCTGCCCCTCCCTGCTCTCCCCTCCAGCTGTGCGTCTCCCCAGAGTGGAGCTTCACACCCCTTCCCCTCCTGTTTTGGGGTCATTACCCCAAATAACCCGACTCCTCTTGGCCATCGTCTTTGATGGCAAGGTTTGTAGTAGATCAGAGTCCAGCCTTCAGAATCAGACAGCCATTCATTCAATACATATTTATTGAATGCCTGCTAGGTGCCATGCACTGCTTGGGCACCTTGCCCCACAAAGGAACAGATAGACAACAGACCCTGCCTCGTGGGCTGACACTCTGCTAGGAGGACACAGACCCTGGGCACACACAGAATAAATAAGTGTATGGCATGTGAGAAAAGAAACTGGCCAAGGAAAAAGGAAAAGAGAGGGAGAGGGGAAGGGGGGTTGGGGTGATGTCTGAATCCCAGGGTACCTCGCTGGCTGACTCCGTGGTCCAGAGAGAATCCGTTAACCTCTGAGCTTTGGTGTTCTCATGTGCACCATGGGGACTAAGAGCCTGTTTATGAAGTTGCAGGGACTGTTGACACACACGTATCTCTGAGTCTGGCACGGAGCAGAGTTAAGTACAAGTTAATGATGAATACACTCAGTAGTAGTCGTCAGCCTATCTTAAACATTTAAAGACCACAAATAACAAGTGACTACAGTGTCCAAGTGGCTCTAGGTCCCAGGATGCTGCCAGAAAACCTCTCCTGCTTTCAGGTGACAGGCAGTGTATCCAAATGCTTGGGGCAAGGGCTTTGGACTGAGGCCTGAGTCACTTCACTGCATACCACACCCCTCTCTCAACAATGGACAGTGCTACAATAGGGAGGTGATGTGGACCTAGGGCCAGGTGGGGCAGTGATTCTGGGCAGGCCAGGTGGTCTGCACGCGTGGGGCCACCTCAGAGCCATCTTTGTACTTCCCACTGGTCCTTGCGTGGGGAGAGGGCCTGACACACAGCAGACCTCAAAAAGTATTCCAGGGACCTCCAGTGGTCCGGTGGTTAAGACTCAGTGCAGGGGGCGTGGGTTCGATCCCTGGTCGGGGAAATAAGACCCCACGTGCTGCGTGGCCAATAAATAAATAAAAATAATGTTTTAAAAAAAGTGGTCCAAGAGTGAGTGAGCGAATGAGTGAGTGAAAGATGAGGTCAAGCAGACAGGGAATGGAGAAGCTGTGGGATACCTGGCCAGGAAGACAGCCCACAGGCTCAGAGTTACAGGGACCAGCCAGCCCACATCCTAACTCTGGCCTTGCCTGACCAGCTCTGGGGCCTCACAGGTGATGTCACCACTCTAACCTTCTCTTCTTCAACTCTAACAAACCCAGGAAACGTGTGGTTAGACTTGCCATGTTGGCTGGAAGTGTCTCCGACCCTGTGCTGCTCTTCCAGGTCTGAGTGCTGCAGTAGGTGGCTCAGGATGACCCACTGGACTTCATGGGGTTGCATCTGAACACACTTTTATTTGGTACTTGCCACTTTAACCACTTATTTATCTCCTGCTTTAGTGCACAGGGGTGTATATAGAAGGATAGCTAGGCCATAATAGTTTCAAATAGTCACAAAATGCAAACAACCTACATGTCTAATAATAGGGAATGGCTTACATAAAGGATGGCCCATCCACATGACAAAATGCCAAGGAGCCATCAAAAAATGATGGGTTGTCATGGAGACATTGCCAGGTTTATATATATTTTTTTGTTTATTTATTTTTGGCTGCATTGGGTCTCTTTTTTTCTTTTTCATAAATTTATTTATTTTATTTATTTATTTTTGGCTGCGTTGCATCTTCATTGCTGCACGCAGGCTTTCTCTAGTGGCGGCAAGCGGGGGCTACTCTTCGTTGCGGTGCGTGGGCTTCTCATTGTGGTGGCTTCTCTTGTTGCAGAGCACAGGCTCTAGGCACGTGGGCTTCAGTAGTTGTGGCTCACGGGCTCAAGAGTCATGGCTCACGGGCTCTAGAGCGCAGGCTCAGTAGTTGTGGCGCACGGGCTTAGTTGCTCCCCAGCATGTGGGGTCTTCCAGGACCAGGGATCGAACCCATGTCCCCTGCATTGGCAGGCAGATTCTTAACCACTGCGCCACCAGGGAAGTCCCAGCAGGTTTATATTGTTAAGTGAAAAGCGGAGGTTATTTTTTAAAGGATATATAATACAATCATATTTTAAAAGCATATATCTTTATATATATAATATATATAGGTATAGTTTGTTTAATAGATATTCTTTCTGATTATTAAAGTAATACTTGGTTGTCATAAAACATTTCAATCATTGGAAATGAGACAAGAGAGAATCCCTTTATAACCTGACCACCCTCATGTTAACAGTGGTGGTCTCCAGGCAGTAGGATTATATCTAGATCGTTAGATATAGATCATCTGTATTTATTGAATTTATTGCAGTAAGACCATAACATTTTGACAGTAAGAAAAAAATGAGGCTATCGGTAAAAGTGTGTTGTTTTATAAACTGGCTAGCTATTTCACGGGTGTTTATCCTATCTCCCCAACTAAACTGCAGGAAGAGATCAATGAAAGCATCAATTCAATGAATGAATGAATTCTAAGACTCTTGAGAAGTGGGACTGTGTGGGCTATGGTAGGTGCTCATAAAGGGATGGTGCCTGCTTCTCAGCTGTCTGAGAGTGTGAACAAGGTCACTCTAACTTACAGATGGAGGAGAAGGTCTCAGTCTGAGTGAGTGGCTCTCACCAGCCCCCTGAGGGGGAAACAGAGGCCAGGAGTGCTAGCAGGACTTGCCTGCAGTCACTAAGGTAGAGGTTGCTGAGGGGTTTGAACCCAGGGTTGTCCCAGCCCAGAGCCCACTTTTCACCACTCCTAGGCCAAAGTCCAGTCAGACTCCATGGCCCTCCCCAGCATGGAGCCCATTGTAGCCCTCAGAACCTGCCAGCAGCTCTTTCCAGGCCAAAGTGCTGACACAGGCCTCTGGGTATTAATAGCCCCTTTCTGGGCTGGGCTTCTCCTCCCCTCCTGAGGTCAGCCCAGGTCATGGGCCCCACCCAGGGAGAGTGGGGTGAGTGCCCTGGTGGACAGCTAAGTGGGCACATCCAGGTCCCTGTGGTCTGAGGCATCTGAGTCTGGAGGCCCGTGTATCCCACCCCAGGGACTTCTTGGGAGTTGGGCCTCACCTCTTTTGGGTCTCACCCCTCTGAGCTTCAGCTTCCTTGTCTGTAAAGTGGGGATGATGTCCTGACTTCACAGGAAGGTTGGCTATATGGTGTCAATAAACTAAAGCAGATAGAGAGCACAGTACACTGCCCACTACCCACGCATTCTGTGCACATCTTCATGTGCATCTGTGCAGGGTCCAGGACGAGACAGCACAGGTCATTTTGGCCACACCCAAGAGGGAGGGATGTGACACAGCCTGGGACGTCCTTCTCTGTGGGTGCGTGTTCTGAGGGGAACACTCCGCAAGAGAGGTGCCGGGGAGTCCACGAGGAGCCCCAGACTGAGGGTTCTTGGTGTCTGGCTTCCCAGCCAGGTACGGAGTGGGGGCCAGACCTTGGGGGTGAGTCCTTCTGACGGGGGCACTCAGAGGGAGAGAGGACTTTGCCTTGTTTGTTAAATAGGGACCAATTCCTGACCCACAGGCTTGAAGGCTCACTGTGAGGCAGGGACCCTTCTCAGCAGTTTACAAACGTCATCTCATTGACTTCACAACAGCTCTTGGAAGGTGGGCACTAGTGTTCCCATGTTACAAGAGGAGAAAACTAGGCCCAGAGAGGCCAAGTGACGTGCTTGAGTTCCCACAGCTAGTTGGTGGCAGAGCCCCAGGTTATTCCTCATCTGTCTGACTCTGGAGACCCCAGGCTGGTGTCCTGTGACCACAGAGCACTGGCTCCCACCCCAGGCAGCTTCCTGTCCTTGGGAGGCTCTGGCCCTGGTCCCTGGGAGGCTGTGGGGTGGGCCTGGGGCTTCACGGGGGTCTCCACGCTTGGAAGGACTCCCGCCTTCATCCCCGCTGGGCAGACAGGCCTTGGGTGCCGCGAATCATGAGACCAGGGCGTTCACCCCTGACTCTGCTGCTTGCCCTAAACCAGTGGCTTCCCCTTGAGGCTGGGCCCAGTCAGCCCTAAAAGGGCTGTGGAGCCTTTGGGTTCCTGCAGTCAGGGAGGCCAGACTCAAACCCCAAACCCTCGGCTGGGCCCTCGTGGTCTGCCCCTCTCTGGGTCCGCAGCCTCTCTTGCCCCCTCGGTCCATGTACTGCCACACGGGCCCCCAGACCTCGCAGGAGGGCAGGAGGTAGGCTCTCCCTCGCCCAGGGCCTCTCACCTGCCTTTCCTTCCGGGGGAAGCCCTCCACAACTCCCAGGCCAGGCCCGGAGCCCTGTTCTATGATCCTGCAACACATCTGCACGCTTGCAATTATTCACACGTGTCATTCGTTTAATCCCCTCTGAACTGTGAGCTTCCTGGGGACGGGGACGCATGCGATGTGTTCCACTCGCTGCAGTGTTCCAGGCACCTAGCACAGGTCCGGGAGCTCGGGAACTAGTTACGGGGTTGCCTGAAGCTGCTTTAAGTGATCCTGTCCTTCGCAAAGCTTCCGGGCAGTGGCGGCCACCTCCGAGGGGCAGATCCATTACCAACCAATTAATTACCCCTCTCTCTAATGGAAATCGAATCTTACAGATTGCCATTTGATTGAACGGTCATGAACTGAAGCCCGATTCAAGACTGATTGAAAATAGAAAAGCCCAGCCTGCCAGCTTAATGAAATGCTGTCACAGAGGGGAGGGGCTGGGCCCAGCCCCAGTGGACCCAGGGTGATGCTTTCAGTGACGTCATTCACTCCATCTGGTGTCCGGAGAGGCCTTTGGCCTGGACTCCACCATCTAGTCCATGGGACCAGGTCCAAGCTGTCCAGGCCGGTGGGTCAGGCGGGCCTGGCTCACAGGGGTCTGGCCTGCTCAGAGGGAAGCTGGTCAAAGCAGGGCTGAGTCGGGGGCCCCCATCTAGGCCTCTGGCCTGGGGCACAGCCGAGGCCAGAGCAGCAGGAGGACTACATTTCCCAGAGTCCCCCAAACCCCGGGAGCGAGCCGTTGGAAGATTTAAATAGCCCAGGCCCGAGGCAGCCAGGCTGCAGCTGTGGACGCGTCCACCTCCTGGGTGGCTCCATTGGCGCTGGCCCGCACTGGGGGGCTCGATTGGCTGCCCAGCTGGCACTGACGTTCCCTGGGAGCCTGGTGGCAGCCGGAGGTAAGCAGCCACGTGCAGTCCCGCTCTCTATATTTAACAGCTGCCGCAGAGCAGGAGGGGAGGCCGGGAGCAACGGAGGCTCCAGGCTTCTGTCTTTGGAGAGAAGGGCCTCACAGCCAGGCTGGCACCGGCCCTCGCTGGGTGACTGTCACCATGCCTGCCTCCCAGAGCCGGGCCCGGGCCCGGGACCGCAACAATGTCCTCAACCGGGCCGAGTTCCTGTCCCTGAACCAGCCCCCGAAGGGGGCGCCGGAGCCCCGCAGCTCGGGCAGGAAGGCCTCGGGCCCCTCGGCACAGCCCTCGTGCCCTGGCGATGGGGCCCGCGAGCGGCGCCAGTCTCAGCAGCTGCCCGAGGAGGACTGCATGCAGCTGAACCCCTCCTTCAAGGGCATCGCCTTCAACTCCCTGCTGGCCATTGACATCTGCATGTCCAAGCGCCTGGGGGTGTGCGCCGGCCGGGCTGCGTCCTGGGCCAGCGCCCGCTCCATGGTCAAGCTCATTGGCATCACAGGCCACGGCATCCCCTGGATCGGGGGTACCATCCTCTGCCTGGTGAAAAGCAGCACGCTGGCCGGCCAGGAGGTGCTCATGAACCTACTTCTGGGTGAGTGTGCCCGCCGTCCACCACCCACCCCGCCAGGCCCGGGGAGGGAGCCCACCCCAGCAGGACCAGCGGGGCCCTCAGAAACCGACTGGAACAATTTAATGAGGTTAGGCAGGGAGGGTGCCCCAGAAACAGGCAAGCCTCCGGCTTGGGGAAGAGAGAGCTGAGGATGCCCAGATGACAGCCCCCTGCAAAGTGAGGGCCTTGAGAATGCGGGGCCCCAGCGGGAACTTCTGAGGAAGGGCCCTGCTCTGGGGAAGGAGTAGCTTGAACCGCCGCCCCCGAAGCAGCTTGAACAGGGGTGCTGGAGGCCGTGACCTCGAGGGAAGTGGCCAGGAGTCTGGCGGGTGCTCTGCAGTGAGGTGTCTAACCCTGTAACACCCCATCCCATAGGCTGGGGTCCTTGAGTTCCTAGGCTGCTTGCAGGCAGCACTTGTGAGCTGCTCCCATCAACCCGCTGCTTGGCTCAGGGACCCTGCAAGCTGCCCAGGATCCTCCCACAGGGCCTGGGGGTTCAGGGGTCCAGTCTGGGGCTCCCACCCACTCATGGCCTCCTGGAGTCCTTACGTACCGCTTCCCTGGGTGAGTCGCTGGAGGAGAGGAGGGCCTGGTGAGCTTTGGTTTGTTTTTGCAAAGTCTTTGTCACCAGCGTCTTTCAGTTGAGCTCTGCCCTGTGCCAGGTGCCACGTGGGCGCCATGTGGAAAGCAGGCCTTCCCCTCTCTCCAGGAGGTGATGCCCAGCCCCCCTGCGGCCCACCCTCCAGCCACCTCCAGATCCCCCAGGTGCTCGGGGACCCAATGCTGCCACCCTCCACGGTGGGCCATGTTGATCTCCTGGCCCTTCCCAGCACAGCCACGATCTGGGGCACAAGTCGGGGGCGGGGGGAATGGCTCAGGCTAAGCAAACACTGACAAGGGGTCCCACTTCCAAAGGGGTGTGTGTTGGGCCACTGAGAACTGCCATCCCAGGGGAAGTTGCAATACAGTGTGGCTCCCCACTCAGGTCTCAGAGCATCTGGGGTGGACACTCTGTGGGTGGGATGTAGGGAGGGGAGAACAGCAGTTGCTCGTGCAGGAGATGGCTGGGTCTGGTACCATCAACGTTTTCTTGTTCTTATTCCTAAATGATTTACATTACTTGTTACTATGCCGAATAGTCCCATGTGACTGGTGCTATTACCATTCCCACTTTACAGATTAGGAAACTGAGGCTCCTGTAAGTAAAGCAACCTGACCAGAGCTTCAGAGCGGGAGATTTGCACCAGGTCTGAAGATCTGCACCTGACATCCAGGCCTGTGCTCTTTTCAGGCAACGTGCCCTGGGCTTGGGACAGAGGGACAGAGCAAGGTGGCCCAGGTGCTGGGCCGGGTGTTTGCGGGGGGCACAACCCTGGTCTCATTACCCACAGTTTCCCCGGTGCCCGCTGCAGCCTGACACAGAGCAGTAGCTCAAGAAAACTGTGTTGGGGGTCAGGTGTCCAAGGATGGGGGTGGGAAAGCATCCTTGAGCCACCCCTCAAACCTGCTCCCTAGACCTTGTCTGCACATTCCTTCCGCGTAAGATGATGGAGGTGGTGAAGCTGTGTTCATAATTTGCTCAGCGCTTACTCCGGGCCCGGTTTTGCATAAACCACATCATCACTTCTACAGGGAGATGATTTGTCCACAGCCACGTAGCTAGTCATTGATGGGGCCAGGACTAGAGCTGGGAACAACTCTTAACATCTTAACAGTTTGTTAAGATGCGGCTTCTGACTCTTTCCAGCAACCAGATTCTGGGGGCACAAAGGAGTTTGCTTCATAGGGTGAAGAGCAAAGTTCGAGGTGCCTCCCTTCTTGAATAAGAAGGACAGTCATTTCTAAGTTTTTAAAATCATCATGTATTGAGCTTCACTATGTACCAAGTACTATGCCCTGAATGTCCTGTATTTCATGATTTTAAAATCTTTTTAATACCGTGTAATGTAAATATTAATACACTCACTTCACAGAGTTAACTGAGGCTCAGAGGGGTCAAGGGACTTGCCCGCCCCCACGTGCCCGTAAGTGGTAGATCTGGGAAGCAAATCCAAGTCCTCCAGGCTGCAAACCCCTTGCCCCCCACCACCCTCGCCATCCGTCTGCGGGTCGGGCTTACCACGCAGTCCATGCTGAAGCTTGTGAGTAGCGAGGAGGCGCCTGGGAAGAGCTTTCTCTTTTACCAGCATCTTTGCTGGTACATCCAGGTACCGACATGACAGAGAGATAAGAGCCCGGCACAGAGCAGCTGCTCAGAACGGACAGGGTGGTCTGTGGGCCTGGGGCATTTCGTGGGGATGTGGACCCTGTAAACTGCAGCAAATAGCGAAGGCGGGTTAATCCCACAGCTCTGACCTGACCCGCCAAGAAGAGCTGCCCACACCACTCTCTGCCCAGGGAAGAAAGACCGTCCGTGGAGCACAAACTGTGCACAGATCTGTCTTTTCTTTCGTCTTTGGGGGCCTGGGCGGCCTTTCAATCCTGGAGCTCTGAGGTTGGAATGGACTTTGTCCGGGTCCTCACTCTGACCCTTACTCGATCTGCTCAAGTCAGTTCCCATCCCCGAGCTTCAGTTTCCTCATCTGTACCTGGGGCTTCAGGACTGTGGTGGGGATTCAAGGGGAGCTGGTAGAGCACTCAGCACAGTGGGTGGCAGGCAGACATGGAAGCTTCAGGGCCCTGAGGGATGAGGGGGCCCTGCCTGGTCCCGCCCGCCCTGCTCTGAGCACCAGGGCACCCAGCAGAGTCCTGAGGGCAGAGCCCTTCCCCTCTACAATTGGCACTTGGGCTCTCCTTGGCCCCAAAGCGGAAAACTCAGGAGCCTCGGGAAATGGAGCTCCAGACACCGGACCCGGGAAGAGTCCCCGCTGGGCCGGGAGGAAGTTCTCTGCTCTGGTCCCTGCGTTCCTCCCCAAGAGTGTGCGGTGCTGCCTAGACTCTGGAAACGTCCAAGCCAGAAGGGATCTTGGCAGCTGGCACAAGCTTGGCTCCAGAGTTGGCCGGACCTGGGTGCAAATACTGGCCCAGCTGTGGGAACCGGGGCAAACGACTTTGCCTCTCTGAGTCTCATTTTCCTCATCTGTCTAGTGGGCTGCTGGGACACTTCCCTGAAGCATTACACAAAAGTGCATGGCTCATACGAATGCCAGTTGAGCTTGGGCAGCAATGATCACCATCCTCATCGCCATTGCCAGCATCAAAGGAAGTCCCAGGTCCAGGGTCCCTCCAGGTCCCCTCCAAGCTCTAGACACCTGTGAGATGACCTGATCCCCTCCTTTGTCCTTCCCCTGCAACACCCGACTTGATGATCCCAAAGGGGGCCAGGTGACAGGGGACCCAGGCCATCCCCGTTCACCAAGCCCATCCTGGTTCCCCCATGGTCCTGTCCTTGGTGGAAAATGGCTCCCATGTCTTATTTCCGTGATCTATAAAAGAATCTTTATTGAAATGTCCCTGATTATAAAAACTATACATTCTTTTTTTTTCTATGTCATTTTTAAAATTTTGGTTAAATAGACATAACATAAAACTTACCATTTTAACCATTTTTAAGTGTATACTAGCATTAAGTACATTCACATTGCCAGAGCTTTTCCATCTTCCCAAACTGAAACTCGGCTCCCATTAAACACTAAATCCCCATCCCTCTCCCCACAGCCCCCAACACCCACCATTCTGCTTTCTGTTTCTATGACTCTGACGAGTCTAGGGACCTCATATCAATAGCATTATACAGTATTTGTCTTTTAATTTCTGACTTATTTCACTTAGCAGCCTGTCCTCAAGGTTCATCCATGTCGTAGCAGGTGTCAGCATCTCCTTTTTTAAGGCTGCATAATACTCCGTGGTATGGACAGACCACATTTTGTTTATCCATCATCTACCTTCTGGCTATTGTGAATAATGCTGCTATGAACATGGGTGTACAAATATCTGTTCAAGTCCGTGCTCTCACTTCTTTTGGGTATAGAAGCAGGATGGAATTGCTGGATCCTATGTTTAATTTTTTGAGGAACCCCCAGACTATCTCCCACAGCAGCTACACCATTTTACATTCCCACCAGCAGTGCAAAAGGGCTCCAGTTTCTCCACAAGTGTTCTTTGCCAGCACTTTTCTCTTTATATAACAGCCGTCCTGATGGGTGTGAAACGTGGCATCTCATTGTGGTTTTGATTTGTGCTTCCTTAATGAGGAGTGATGTTGAGCACCTTTTCACTGCACATCCTCACGGTAAGGAAAATTCAGACGACGACAGGTGATGAAGAAAGTGACTGTTTCCCTTAAGCCCTTTCCCCAGGAATAACCTCCGTTGCAGTTTGGGTCATGGGTCTCTGGATTTTTCTCTGCGCCCAAACTAGCATATCATATGCTTCTAAAATGACCTCCTGTGGCGTTTTGCCCAGCTTGGCCTCATTCTCATGGCCCTACTGGGCCTTCTGGGCTATGAACCTCCCATCTCGGCCCCACTCCTCCCTTCACACCAAGCACGAGGGGTTCAGAAACCAGAACCTGCACCCTCAGCCTGGCAGCGCCGCCCCCACCCGCCCCAAGCATCTCACAGCATCCCCTCCCCCCCAGCCCCTGCTCACCCACCCTCCATATAATCTCTTGTGTCAGCGGTCTCATCCCAGCCCACCGGCCCCTGCTCTTGGGCACAGCTCAGGTGACAAGCCCTCCAGGAGGTCTGCATAGCCTGTCCCTAGCTGATGGACCTTTAGACTCTGATCCCAAACCTTCACGGTCAGGAGCCCTCCTGCTGGAGACACCAGCGCAGCTCCGCAGAGGTAGGACGTTCTCCACCCTTCCCCCCAGCTTCACTTCTCATCATCTCAGCGGGGCTCAGCGAAACGGTCCCTCCAGGCTAAAATACACATGACATAAAATTCACCATTTTTAAGTGTCCAGTTCAGTGGCATTAAGTACATTCACATCGTTGTGCAATTGTCCCCACCATCTATCTCCAGAATTTCTTTCATCTTCC